CTGCTCTCTCCCAGAACACAGACTCTGCCTCCTCTTTAGTTACCTTCTCAGACATGCCTAGGCCATTGATTGGCCCATGCTGCTCTCCACAGTGAATGGATGACTGACAGGCACACCACCACCACCACCACCACCACCACCACCACACACACACACACACACACACCCATGTCAATTCCTTTTGAGGTAACAAATGCTAACAATCCAATGTTTATCCTGTTACCCCAAAGATTCAGCTTCAAAAATCCATTTTCCAGACTTTTCCCTGATTCTTCCAGAAACAGACTGCTTCTTACACTCTCAGAGTTCTTAGCACACATTTCCTTCTTGGCTTCCATGATAAAGCCTACATTTGCTATTAAGATAAAATGTGAGGGATGATCTTAGAGCTTAGCAAGTTTGAAGGAAATATACAGGAGGGTCCGGGAATCTAAAAGTGGCAACCAAGTGGTAAATACATTTGTTGTATTAAACAGGTTTGATGGTAAGTGTCAATGATTAGTAAAGATAAAATAGTGGCTGACAGTCTTGCAGATTCAAGTTGGCCATTAGGATCTGGTAATGGGTTATTTGAAGTCAGAGACTCCAGGCTGTAGTAAGAGTGGACCTCCAGGAGGACACCACCTAAAGTCTCTGCAGCAATCACCCCTCTCTACAGACTCCGTTCAGCCCTCTTCCTCATGCAAAGCATCTCCCTAGATATGTGTCCAAGGTTTTATGTCACTGACTGCCCCTGATATATGTAATTTCCATTCACTGAGAAGAAACTCCCAATGAGCTGATGCTGTGGTTTGAATGGAGATGTCCATCCTAAATCCATACTGAAACTTAACTCTCAATGCAGTAGTACTAAGAGCCCCTGGAACCTCAGGTTAAGGGGGTGATTAGAGCATAAGCACACTGCCCTTGTAAGGGGGATCACAAATGTCATTAAGAGGTGAGGACTGAGGGGGTGACTCAGTGGTAGAGTACTTGCCTAGCACGCCAAGGCCCTGAGTTTCACCACCAGCACTGCATAAGAGAAAACAAGGTTGAGCTCCCCAGTCCTTTTGCCCTTCTGCCTCTCCACCATTAAAGACAGTGTGCATTCCTCCATGTGCCACCACCTCTGAATCAGAGTAACCATTATCACATAGGGAATCTGTTAGTGCTTTCATCACAGACTTCCCAGCCTCCAGAACTGTGTAAACTACATTTCTCTTACTTATAAACTACTGTCTAAGGCACTTTGTTATAACAACGGGAATGGACAAAGACAATTAAAAGGTTTTCTACCAGCCGGGCGTGGTGGCGCATGCCTATAGTCCCAGCACTCAGGAGGCAGAGGCAGGAGGATCTCTGTGACTTCAAGGCCAGCCTGGTCTACATAGGGAGTTCCAGGACAACTGGGGCTACAGGGAGACCCTGCTTCAAAAAGACAGGAAAAAAAAAAAAAAAAGGTCTTCTACCCTCAGAACAACTTAAAATTAAGTATAAAGATTAAAATTAAGTATAAAGATTCAACCCTTTACAAATATTTTGTTAAATTTGGAATTATCTGTGGATATTGGCATCTAAAGCTTTTAATTTTTTTTGGTCTTTTTGCCTCAGTTGGCCCAGAACTCACTATGAAGACCAGGCTAGCCTTGAACTCACAGAGATTTCGCCTGCCTCTGCCTCTAGAGTTCTGGGATTAAAGGTGTGCATCACCACACCCGGCTTTTTAGTTTTTAGGGTTTTGTTGTTTTTTTTTTTTTAAAGCCAGGATCTCCTCTAGCTATGTGTCTGTTCTTAAACTCCAAATCTTCTTGCTTCTACTTCTCAAGTGCTGGGATTATAGCTTAAAATAGTCTTAATATTTAAGCATTTAGTATTTAAGGGGGGCTGGGGAGGTAATTCAGTGTGTATGCTTACCTAGCATAAACAAAATCCCGAGTTCAATCCCTAGTACCACATAAATCTGGTGTGGTGATCTGTGGTCTAATTGTACTTAGGAAGGGGATGTAGGAGGATTAGAAGTTCAAGGTCCTCCTCATCTATGAGTGACTTCATGGCAAGACTGAGATACATGAGAACCTGTCTAAAAAAATTAGTGTTTGAGTCTAACAGATTTATCCATTCAAAGGTATGACTTTTAGTAAGTTTGTTAGTATAATTGCTTTATTAGAAATTTAATACTTCATAAAGTCTATATATTAGTGTTACAAAACAAAGGATTTGTTAAATTTCAAAGTGCAAATGTTTCTAAACCACATAAAAATTTTAATTTAGTCATAAGAATTCCTTAAAATCAATTGCTAAATCCACTACATTTATAAATAATTAAATATGTGGGTTTAATTTTAGAACCTTAAGAGTTTTATTATTTCAATAAAGTACATAATTTTTAAAAATTCTGTACTGATTAACTGCCTTCCAGGAAACATAAAAAAGTCATGAGATACAATAACACTGTTTTATCAGTGTCCTATTAAGCTAAAGTGACAAGATGTCACATGCCTCTAACCTGTAATCCCAGCACTGGGAAGGCTGAGGCAAGAGGAGTGTGAGTTGTGAGTTTGAGGGCAGCCTGGGCTACACAGGGGTCTCACAAAATAAAACAACAGAAACTGAATGCATTGAGGAGTCAAAGTACCATCTTCCTTAAGCCCCATCGCCTTGCACAATAATGGTCAGGAGAGTAGGTCTCTTGTAATAGTAACAGCAGCTAAGAGTCCTTGAGTCTGTACTCAGTGACAGGCTCTACGATTACTATATGTGTCTATATACATATATCTATATACATATATGTACATATATAAAATCTCCCCAGGAATTCTCAGTACAACACATTAACAGCCAAGGGTGGGAATGGTAAAATTTCGGTAACCTCCAAGCTGACAGAGTATTAGAACACAGGCTTAACAGACTTTCAGTTGGGTCTGATGGCACATATCTGCAATCCCAGCATTCAGGAGGTTGAGGCAGGAGGCTTGCAAGCCCAGGTTAGTCTGAGCTATTAATCCATGAGGAAACCTAATCTTAAAGACAAAAACAACAATAATCCAGGCTGAGTCAGAGCCACCCCTTCCCTTAACCCTTGTTTTATTGAATGGAGGATTTTTGAGACAGGGTCTCATTCTATAGTCCAGGCTGGCTCAAACTCACTATGCACTATTGTAGCCTAGGGTGGCCTTGAATTCACAGCAATGCTTCTACCTCAGTCTCCCACATTCTAGGATTACAGGCGTGTGCTTACCTCACTCAGCAATGAGACTTCAACGGTGGACCTGTGACGAGGTTAAACTGAGATAACAGAGCACAGGGCTAGAAATGTGGTGTGAACTGCTCCATGTGGACAAGGGACCAGTTTAGGATGAAAGAACAAGCTGGGGACTTTCAAGTACTTCAGACTAGCCTCAAACTAGAGGAGACCCTCTTGTCTCACCTCCCAAGTGCTAGGATAACAAGCATGTACCACCACACCCAGCTGAGTCTTAAAAGGCAGGAAACTTAAGAAGTCTGGAAAGAAGCGAAGGGATGAAGAGGCCGTGGGCTTCAATTAAAATGATGAGAGCTGCTACCTGCATGCCCTTTATCTGGAGGAGTCCCTTAGTGGCTGCTACGGTCCTCGGATACGAAGCTGTGGTATTATGCTGTACAACGGTGTTCACCTAAACTAAGCCAAACATGATTCTTCAGGAGACAAGGAAAACGATGGAGAAAGCTTTGACAGTGCTCTGAAGAAGCAGTAGGAGAGAAACAAGGGCAAGCTAGACAGGGAGCCGCGTTAGAGGGACAGAATGGCTGTCCTGAAGTGAAACATCGTAACACCGCCTACTGAGTGTCGTTGTTATGTCAACTTATGGCAGTCGTCAACAGCAAGTCTACACTTCCAATCAACCTGTCTGTAGCTAGCAGCCACACACAAAGATTCCACAATAGCTTTTCCATTATGACCCTCAGGCACACACTTGATGGAGCAAGTGTGGTGCCTGATGTACCAGGAGGGAGGTGCATCAGAAGTAGGGCCATTAGGCTGAGACCGTGGGACCCTGGACCAACCTAGGAACAAAGCCAATGGAGAAAACTCTGTGTTGTGTATTGGTGGGCAGGCGAGGGGGACACCTGACTTCTGGGTAAAATGCTTCAGACTTTCCAGTGAAAGCGTGGCTATCTTGCCTGACACCAGCCCAGCCTCAAGACAAGATGGCAATACAATGCTTTCCAAAGATTTTCATGACTTATGCCTCAGGCCTGGCTTTCTGAAGTGCCAAGATGACATCTTAGAAATCTGTGAGTGAAATAATCTGGTTATCACAACAACTGAAGGATAGTGTGGGCATTTAGCGTCTGGTACATCTAGATGTAGTCCTAACAGCATGGGTAGAAGGCATCAGCTAGTCAGACCCAGGATAACCGCGGCAGTATTGTAAGGGTGTGAGACTCAGTATCACAGATGTTTTTAAATACATATACCAAAGGCTAATAAATGGATAGAGATCTTTAAAATATTACATTTTTTAGTGTGTGTGTGTGTATGTGTGTGTGTGCGTGCACGTGCGCGCACACTAAGCCACCTGTTTGTTTAGAAAAAAAGAGAAGAAAGTGCCACAGTTGGTTTTCTTCTTCCATCACATGGGTCCCAGGGATCAAACTCAAATTGTGAGGCTTGGCAACTAGTGCCTTAACCCGCTGAGCCATCTCACCAGTTTAATCTTCAAGATAAATGTTAAAAAAGACTTAAAGTGTGAATGAACTCAGATTAGTTATGAGACAGTGTGTACTTGCCCTTGCATCCTGGACTCCACAAGACAACCACGCATCACCAGAAAGCATCACAATGTTTTGACTTTGAAGACAGAACCTTGTCTTCTAGAACACATGCTAGAAGAGGCTTGGTCTGAGCCTTCTAAACCCTGCGACGTTTCTGAGAATAGCTACACATGTCACCCTTAGCTATATCTCTTAAAAGAATATTACACTCAGTTCTGAATGGCTGAGAGCTCTCTCCTCTGATAAACCAAGACAGACAATGTGGCAACACTGAACCTCAGCCAATTTAATAGAGGGATTCTATTCACTATGTACAGGATCCTCTAGAGAATGCAGGTGACCTGAACCACGTGAGAGCCAGGGGCACTAAGAGTTGATGGTCTTCACTGGCTTCGTGTCCTCGATCTCAGTAGACAGCCAGCGGTAAGAGCGATGACGCCGCAGCACCTCAATGGCCTTGAGTTCCAGTGGTGTGGCCTGAATGCCCAGGTCTTCGAGGCCAGGCAGGTGGGGCACTGTCTCATCTGTGATGTGCATCTGTGAACCAAAGACCACAGAGAATGCTTGATTCATCAGAAAACTGGCCAAGAACAGTGCCACCCCCAGCAAACATCCACACACTCAACCTTGAGGCCCATCACTGAGACCTAAGTGCCTAGAGAGAACTAGCAGCAACCTTTGCTTATGGAACTCAGGAAGGGAGAATACAAGGTGAAGATCATCCAAGACCAGATCCAGGTCCCCATATCATCTAGGAACATAGGACAGGCTCTGGACCAGCACATCTACAGGCACATGTCGTCAGAACTCAACCCAGCGAGGGGAGGCAGGAGCTGGCCCTCTGGCCAGAGATGAAGACAAAGCCAAGCCTCTCTATCCCCCAGCTCTCTCTAATGTAGGGTCTTTGAGCTCTGGCTTTCTGCTTGTTTGAACTTTTCATTTTAGTTTGATTTTGTGGGTTTTGTTTTTCATACAGCATCTTACACTGTAGCTCTAGGAGTTCAATATGCAACCCAGGCTAACCTCAAACTTGTGGCCATCCTTCTGGGCTCAGTCTCCCAAGTGTTTGGTGACAGGTGTACACCACCATGCCTGGCTCCATTAGCCTTTTTTGCTCCAATTACACTCAACCTGGTTAATGAATGCACACTACAAAGCCAGAAGCCAATCAATCCCATCTTGCTTAGGGAAGAATGAACATTAAGAAGCTGCTGGTCCAAAAGTACTGAACAGACCCAATCTGCACTTGGAGCTGCCATCAATCCCTGTCCTGTGACCCCAGTAGTTTGTAGTATATACCAAGAGATCTAGAGCAGTGGGCAACCAAATTCAAAGCCCTCCTGACCACTCACTCCAACCATACTCTGAGTCAGCAATGTAAGCTGGTGTCAGACAAATAGGTTCATGAACACAAAAAGAACATCATGGAAATGTCTCAGCTTTCCTCACACCTGTCGGAGGGAGGCTGGCAGCTGCCTGCTCATATCTGTTCCCTAGGAAGATTTTCAATTCTTTTCGAGGCTTTGGCTCATAGGAGAGTTTGGCTGCATCCTGGAAATAGAAACTTCCCAGCACTAGAAAGTAGAAGTGTTAATATTTTTATTCATTTGAAGTCCTTCCTAGAAAGACTTGGACATGCAAGGGGTAAATAATCAATGAGTTACACAAGCATGGTAGGTGTGAGAGGGGAGGAGCCAGGGCTCTGCATACTGCAGGGGGACAGGAGTGGCAGCAAGAGCTTAGCTGAGAGAGGACGGAAGGACTGCTGCCTGGGTTAGAACAGGGAGAGGCAGTTATACACTCTCTTCTCAGTACATTGAAAACTTACATTATAAACACATTCCTAAGGGAAAGCTAGACAGAAGGGGTGGAATTAGGAGGAGTGCAGGACCTGGTATCAACTGAGGGTTGCTGAGGGTTGAGCTCTGAGCTATCTAGCACAGAAGCCCCTGGCCAAATATCATTTCAGTTTCAAGGAACAAAAATCAAGTAAAATTCAAATCTGAAGCCTACAAGTCACACAAGCCACCTATCAAGTTAGTTACTATCACATATTGCTGGTGGCAATGTACAGACACAGGCTGCTTTCAGCACTGCAACGAGTCCTGCCAGACAGTGCTGGTTTAGATCTGGAAGAGGAATTAAAACCCCAGGGATTACTAGACACTTTACATGAACAACACAGAAAGGACTATTGTTGAGACAAGAGCACCCAGGACAGAAAACAGTCTCTAGCAAAGCATGGGGCAGCCCATGCCTGTGATCCCAGTACCCGGGAGCCTGAGGCAGTAAGACTGTCACAAGCTCCAGGTCAGCTTGGGCTGCAGAGTGAGCACACAGAGCAAGACCCTGTCTCAAAACACCACCACCACCCCACAACAACAAAGACAGGCAGTTCTATCCATAGACATGTTACATTTCAGAAACCTGTACTATATCTGAATAGTTAGACCGGAGACTGTAAGGCTCAGGAAATAATTCAAGATTGGAAATAAAACTGCAGCAGTGATGTTCACAGTCAGCAGCGGGCAACCAGGACAAGTGTAATTTACAGTACGAGTAAAGGTGGAAAGAGATGGGCCAAGGCCATGACCCTATCACACAGCAATCAGGATAGGATTGGGGGCAGGAAAGGTACCTTTGGCATGGCCTAGTGACAGAAGGGAAAACCGGAAAAGGCAGACTGGGCCAGAAAGCAGGTGCAAAGACACCATTTCAGAAAAGAGAAACAGGCACCCCCAACAAATGCTGCTCATAGTGGGAGTAAGATGAGGTCAGAGAACTGACTAAGGCAGTATGGGATCATGGGTAGCCTTGGAAAGAGCTTAGGGCAGAGAAGGAGTAAAAGTTGGTTGAAGTGGGTTAAAGAGAGAATGAGGCAAGAAGCTGCTGGGAAGAGGTACAGGCTGCTCTTAAGATATAAGGGTTGAGGCCCACGCTTGTGATTTCAGCACCTGGAGGTGGAGACATAAGGCTCAGAATTCAAGGTCACCCTCAGTCATACAACGAGTTTAGGCCAGCCTGGGCTAGATGCTTGGTCTCAAAACATCAATAACAAGAAAAATACAAACAAACAAACAAAAGAGTCCTAAAAAGTCCTAAGGCGAAAGAGCAAACAGGAAAGTGGCTAGAGGGACACAGGGAAGAACAGAGGGCTTGGGCTTTAATAAGGCGCAGGGTGACTCTTATGCATGTTTGAATGCTGATGACAATGAGCCACAAAGAGAGACATACTGTCAGAGGAGGATGGGAGTGAATGCATGACAGGCAGTGGGGTCAGCCTCGACCAGGAGGAATATCCCCCACACAGGAACCCTGCAACCACTGAAGCAATACAACAAACCAGAGTTCTCCATCCCCACAGTGCTCTGCCTGGTGGCTGCATGGCCACAAGCTTGCCACACCCAGACTCACCCGCTCCACTTTATCCCTCGTCGTCCAGGGCTCAAATGGACTTATTTCAAAGAGTCTGCCAATCAACCTGGAAAAGGAACAGATATGGCACATATGATAAGCATCTCTGTACTGGTTTTAGCCTGTGAGACCCACAGGAAGAGGGGTGGGTACACAGCCAAGAGTTTGTTGCCCCACCCCCAAATAACCAAATGGCTCTACTACCCGCTGGAGAGATCCATCTGATTCCCTCCCTCCCTCCCTCTGTTCTTTACCCTCCTCTTTCTTCTCCCATGGCACAGATGTACTGCACCAGGCCAAAAAGGAGGTGCCGACTCCAGCACTGGACTTACCGATAGGCAAAGCGTGGTATGGGGTAAGGGAAGTAGGACCTGTGTGCCATGGCAAAGATGTACTGCACCAGGTCAAAGAGGAGGTACCGATTCGGCCTAAAATAGAAGCAGAATTCTTCAAGTTATTGGTCTTTTACAAAATTTTTGTCTGTTTGTAGCCACAGCTGGCCTGGAACTCACTATATAGACCAGTCCGGCCTCAATCTCAGTGCACCATCACACCTGGCAAAAATGTTTTTAATAAATAACATTTTTTAAAAAGTATTTTTTAGGAGGCTGGAGAGATGGTTCAGTGGTTAAGAGTACTGGCTGCTCTTGCAGAGGACCTGGGTTTAAATCCTAGCACCCACATGGTGGCTAACAACTGTCCATAACCCATTCCAGAGGATCTGACGCCTTTTTCTGACTTCTGCAGGCAATGCATGACTGGGTGCACTTACACACATGCAGGTGACACACTCATACACATAAAAGAAAAATTTATCAATTCTTTGAGAATTTCATAAAATTCATTTTCACACCCTCTCCCTCAGTACTTCTCTCCATCTCCTCAGACCCACCCCCCAAACCTCCTACTTCACGTCCTCTATTATTTTTAACAAACAGCATTTTTCTTGTGGAAAAGAAAGTATATGCACTATAGCAAACACACATTAGCAAAGAAAAATCACCTGCTATCTTACTGCATTTGTACACACACACACACACACACACACACACACACACACACACACGAGCGCGCTCACAATACATGCTATGCTTTTACATTTTTTCTTTTTCTGTTTCTTGAGACAGGGTCTCTCTGCAGCCCACTTAGCCTCAAATTCACAGCAATCCTCCTGCCTCAAACAAGTAAGCCTCCGTACCTGGCTTAATTAGCATTTGCTCATTTACATGTTTCTACCTCTTCCCTACAGTTTCTACTAACAATTGTCAACCCCATCTGCTGAAGTGCCACCCTTGTCACATCTGCAGTCTTACATGTGTTTGGGACGGCATCAGGACTTCTGTTCTATCCATCTGAAGCATTCTGTACCAGTGCAGCCTAGCTTTAAAAATTAACCATCACTTATAGTTTAAAATCACTCCATCTATCTTCCTAATCCCTTTTACCCCCAGAAAAATCGATAACTGAGAGCTTAATAAAGAATCTCATTATTCTGACATATTAGAAAAAAAAACATGAAAATGAAAATGTCCTTATCAGCTAGAGGAAATGTCATAGAAAGTCCTTAAATTCCAGAAAAATCTCAAAGATCACTGCAGGACACAGGACATAAAATACATGCTATGCCAATAATTGCTTGTCTTTTGGGGGCCAACGCGATGGCGTAGTGGGTAAAGGTGCTTGCTGCAGGCCTGAAACCTGAGTTTAATCTCTGGAACCCACATGTGAAAGGAGAGAACTGACGCCTACAAATGTTCTCTGACATCTACATGCATGTGTCATGCAACGTCAAAGCTTCCTTCAACTGCCTGTGATCTCAGTGCTGGGGATATGGAGACAGGCAGACCCCTGGGGCTTGCTGACCAAACAGTCTAGCTGAATCGGTGAGCTCCAGGTGCAGTAAAAGACTGTCTCAAATACTAAAGTGGAGACCAAATGAGGAAGGCACCCACCATCAATCTCTGGTCTCTACATGCTCACAATGACACACATGTGTATGCGCATGTGCTTGTGTACACACACACACACACACACACACACACACACACACTCAAAAAGCAAAATGCCTCTGCTCTAGCCTCAAAATTCCAGAGAAAGAAGTACGTTTTTCTACAGCTGATGAGATGCATAGTCTAACTCTAAAAGCAAGTGTCTGCATTGGCATATCTAGCATTACTCTTACTATCACACTGCCAAACACAAATGCATCCTAGAACCTAGCAAAGAGTCCAGAATAGTTGAGTAGAGAGCTTGCAACATTCATAAGCCATTTCTGTCCATTTATTCCTTGGAATCCTATTTTAAGAACCTCTTCAGGGAGCCCAATATCCTTTGTTCCTACAATTTATGGAATCTAGGCTGTGTGTGTGTATATCTGTGTGTGTGTGTGTGTGTGTGTGTGTGTGTGTGTGAGAGAGAGAGAGAGAGAGAGAGAGAGAGAGAGAGAGAGAGAGTTTCATAGAGCATCATATAGCTGATTGATCTTTGTTTTATTTTTGTGTTTTTGAGACAGGGTCTCATTATGTAGCTCTGGCTGGCCTGGCACTTGCTAAATATACCAGGCTGGCCTTGAATGCTCAATGATTCACCTGTCTCTGCCTCCCAAGTGCTGGGATTAAAGGTATGTGCCATCATGCCCAGTTAGCTGACTGTTCTTAAAACACCAGATTGAGAATGAAGAGAGGTGTACATTCTAAAGCAACTACTTGATGCACAGAATTTTTTTCTTTTTACTAAATTAGAACTGTAACACAGTGAAAGAGAAGACATAAAGTCAAAGCCCTGGAGTGTATGAACGATTTGCCTAAGAGCTTAAAGAAAAAAAGCTTTATTTTCTCTAGAAGCAATCATTTCTTAGAAACCAGACAATCACTAAATTGCTGAGTAAGAGCATCAGGTTTCATTACTTTTGCTTCACAGAATGGCAGGGTTCTGGACACTATTACGTGAATTTGTTCCTTCTCAAGTTGGTAGCCTGAGTCTCCAGTTAAAGTAGGAGCTTATGGAGGTCAGGTGATAAGTGGAGTTTTGGCTGAAGTCGAGCTCACAGTGGGTCCAGTGGGTTCCCGAACTCATCCTGTGGTTATTTCCCCAGTACCAGAATGTATAACTAAGATAGACGTACTTAGAAGTTGGCAGAATCCCCACAATAGTCCCCTGTCCTGTGGACTGAGGGCTATTATGATTGGAAAGGCCAAATGGAAACTACTGAAGTTGCCTCTACCAAGGAAAACAGTAAACCAAAAACAGTATCCCATCCCTGGAAGGATTGCAGAAATTAGTGCCACCATCAAGGTTTGAAAGATGCAGGCGTGGTGGTTCCCACATCTCCCTTTAACTCTCCTATTTGGCCTGTGCAGATGACAGATGGGTCATGGAGAATGACAGTTGACACCCAAAAACTCAAGTAGTGACTCCAATTGCAGTTGCTGTACCAGATGTGGTTTCCTTAATTGAGCAGATTACAACATCTCCTGGTGACTGGTATGCAGCTACAGATCTGACAAATGCTTTCTTCTCAATACCAGTTTATAAGGACCACCAGAAGCAATGTGCTTTCAGCTGGCAAGGCCAGCAGTATACCTTTACTGTCCCATCTCAAGGATAGAGTAATCCTCCAGTCTTGTGCCATAACTTAGTTCTAAGGGATCTTGATCGCCTGTCTCTTCCACAAAATATCACACTGGTCCACTATATCAGTGATGTTATGCTGACTGGATCCAGTGAGCAGGAGGTAGCAACCACTCTGGACTTGTTGGCAATGCAAATGCACATGAGGATGGGAAATAAATCTAACCAAACTTCAAGGGACTTCTACCTCAGTGAAATTTCTAGTTCAGTGGTGTGGAGCATATTTTTTGCTTCAAATTAATTCAACAAAAAGGCCTAAAGCTAGCTGTGACAGACTTAATCTCAGATAAGGCACAAGGCACAAAGCCTGGACTGAGAGTAGATTCTGAGAGAGGGCAGATAACGAGAGATCATTCCGCACCCAAACCAGCCATTTCAAACTGCCAGGCACTATAATATCACAGCAAAAGTAATTTCATCTTGTAACTATGTTCATGTCTAAGTGTTTGATTTCTGTTTTAGAATTTAGAGCAATATCTGTTTACATATTAAAAACATCACTGGAACAGCAGCACAAACAAGGTAAGGCTCACTGGCCACAGCACAGCTGTTTCCCTGTATCCCCAGAAGATTAGTTCCATCTAGAGACACCAAATATGGATGCTTCATCCTTTAGATCGATGACATGGTATTTACAGTGCCCTCCTGCATACCTTACATCACCTCTAGATCACTTGTAACATCAAATGTAAATTGTTGTTATACTGCACTGTTTAGGAATAAGAAAAAGGGGGTAGGGGACTCATTCACTACAGATACAACTTTTTCCCCATGATATATTTTTTGAGACAGGGTCTCATTATGAGCCCACAGTAGCCTCAAACTCACTCTATATCCCAGGTTTGCCTTAAACTTGTGGTGATCCTCCTGTCTCAGCCTCCTGAGTGGTGAGATAACAGGGGTGAACCCCAAAGCCTGTTCTGCTTGAGTCTGTTACTGGAAATAGCTGAATCCACAAATGAGGAACGCACAGACACAACAGTAACAGCCTAGGACGGTGGCTCTCAGACTGGTGACAGAACTATTCATATGAAAGCAGAGTCCTAGGTTCCCTCAAATTCTGAATGTGTCTAGGACATTCTAATACTATAAAAATAAGACAAATCTGCTAGTGATCTGCTTAGAAGTATTGCTGTCATAAGCCACTATGATCTTTCCATGAAAGTCAAACTCTAGGCACTTACCCAGTGAAGGCAAAGGTTTTTCCTCTGGCATCTGGATCTTTAGCCGCATTAATGATCCCTTTGGATACATCTACAACCTATATAAATCGTAAGATATGTTTAAGTAATTGTTGAAAAAGAGACACCAGGTCCGAGGAATGAAGCCTATAATCTCAGCTACCTGGAAGGCTGAGGCAGCAGCGGAGAAAGTTCAAGGCCTTCCTGGACTACACAGCACTTCAAGGTCACCTTAGGCAACTTGGCAAGATCTAGGCTAAATGTTTTTTAAAGGGTGGTATGGTGTGGGGATTAACTCAGTGACAAAGTATTGACTGAGATTCACGAGGCCCCAGGTTCAACTCAGGACTGCAAATATAGATACATAATACATAGATGAGAGAGAGAGGAGAGAGAGAGAGAGAGAGAGAGAGAGAGAGAGAAAAGCATGACACCAATCACAATAAAAATGTGACAAAACTAAAATAATGGCCTCATTGTTTTCACAAAGCTTAAGGAACGTCTTTTTTTTTTATTTAATTTTTTTTTTAATGTGTATATGTGTATTGCCTGCATGTAGGTAAGTGCACCTGTGTCATGCAATGCCCGAGGAGGTCAGAAGAGGCTGTCAGATCCCCTGGGACTGAAGTTACGGACGGTTATTAGCTGCCATGTGGGTGTTGGGATTTGAGCCTGGGTCTTCTGCAAGAACAACCAGTGTTCTTAACCGCTGAGCCATCTCTCCAGCTCCAGCTTAAGGAACTTCTTAGACATTCAAATAATTGTACACAAGGCTGATGCAGGTACACTCCTAGTCAGGAGCCTTTATCCAAAGATAAAGGCTCAAGGTCTTCCTGACTGAATTAGGCCACTACCTCATCTATCTGATTTCTACTGTATCCTAAGCCACCCTAACCTAGAGGCTGAACCACATGTAACTGCTAATCCTCTGACACTGTGACTTTCAGAAACAGGGTTAGAATTAGAGACCCAGGATCCTCAACCAGAAACCATTTGGGGATCTAGGAAACATTTGACAATTGTCTGGAGAATTTTCAGTTCTCATGATTTTGTGTGTTTTGGGGGGGGCTGGGGTGAGGGGCTGCTTCAGCATCTAGTGGCTAAAGGACAAGGAAGTTGCAATAGTCCCAAGGGTAAAGAATTATCTGGTCCCAAGTACCAGTAGTGCCTTATTGGGAAATCGTGATTGCACCCAGCCCAACCAAATATGGAATCCAACCTGTTCTTTTACTCTGGGCCCCAGCATATCTTGTAAGAAGCCTCCCCCCACCCTTCATTCTATCAGCTGACTCTGAAGTCCACAGCTGGGTTAAGTGTCCCTCTGATACAGTGACAAAATCCTCTTCTTCTCCTAGTGCTTGTCACTCTGAACAATAACTGCTTTATTTACCTGAGAAGAATCTGAACACAGAGATTTGTGTCTGAGTAGTTACCATCTCTACAGTCCTAGTAACAGTGTGCCTAAAACAACAGGGACTCAGTTAAGCTTTCATTACACGAAAGAACCAGTGAAGACACGCACCTCTTAGGTCAACTGAGAGGTTGAAGCAAGTTGACAAACGTGCATGAGAATACAACCAGAAAATGATCACCCAAACCTGAACCTGGTCAACACCCCTTCCTACACCTTTCACCCAGGTACTTACATAGACGGGTTGTTTCTCAGTCTTCAGGCCCAAAGAAATAAGAGGCACACCACCAAACGAACGCATATCTGGAAGAAAGGGGAAAGTGTCCTGAGCGGGTCTCAGCTGTTCTAGGAACCACCAATCTCTGGATCACCACAGCTGTTTCACACACAGAAACAATGTAAGAAACGTAGCTGGCTCTGAGGAAGCCCTAACAATCAGCAGTAAAATGGAAAGTAAGGTCAAGCATTAAAGAACACACAGGGAGAACAAGCAGAGGTCACACGGCCTGGCTGCTGCTCTTCTATAATGCCAAACGCAGGGCATGCCTAGAACTGAGCTCTAGTTGCACCCAGGAAATCAGTAGGTGAGCTGTCGACAGGGCATAGGTAGCAAGAAAGAGACCCTGGTGAAAATGGGAGTTTAGGACATGATGCTACAGTACTGCAAAGCAATGGGAAGTGGAACGTTGACATCCAGTGCTGACACAGCTGCTCTAGTATGTGAAATAAAAATTTAAAAGATACTGGCTTACTTCTCTACGTAAACTAAAACAAATCCCAAATGGAGTAAAGATAAATGTTTAGATAAATATTTTTATTACATTTTAAATTAACATTAAAACGAGATAAAGAACAACTGATGGGCTAATATATCTAGTGTGTATATGATGTATTCTACTTACCCTCACCCCATCTTCTCTTATGTCTCTCACCCCATCAAACCCCCCCATGCCACCCCCAGTCCCTACAAGTCCCTTTCCCACACTCATGTCTTTTTGTTTTGTTTTGTGACTCAATGAACTTAACCAAGGCCATCTGCTACCATGGGTTTGGAAATACCCATTGGAATAGATAAAAGTTTTCTAAAGCGTCTAAAAGTAGAAATGACTTACAATACATAAAAATCTAAAATATTTTAAAAATAAGCTTAATCAAGGAGGCAAGAGATTTGTATACTGAGAACTACAAAACATTGCTTAAAAAAACTGAGAGTCACAAATAAAGGCAAAGACACCCCAAGTGCATGGACTAGAAGACAATCTATTCAAATGGTGCTAACTGAATGTGCCACCTCCCAAATGCAGGTGTTGCTGTATGATCTTAACAAGAGGCGGGGTCACAGAGGAACTAGGCCAAGAGGGCTGCTCTCATAAACAGGATTTATGGCACTGCATTTGGCTAGCTTGATCTTCTAGGTTGTGAGGACACAGATCATCCTACCTTCCCCTATGTGAAGATGCAGCAAGACTCCCATCAGGTGCTGGTACCCTGACCTTGGAACTACCAGCTTCCAGAACTGTGAGAAATTTCTCTCCTTTATCAGTTTCCTGGTCCTAATCTCCAAACTCTCAACCTGCTCTAGGTACTAATTTTGGTATACTGGTATATCAGCAAAGAAAAGATGAACATACACGGGGCTGGAGAGATGGCTCAGCAGTTAACAACACTGGTTGTTCTTGCAGAAGACCTGCTTTCTAATCCCAGCACCCACACGGCAGCTAACAACTGTCCATAACTCCAGTCCCAGGGGATCCGACAGTCTCTTCTGACTTCCGTGGGCATTGCACGACAGAGGTGCACTTACCTACATGCAGGCAATACATGCGTACACATAAAATTCAAAAAAAAAGATGAACACACACACCAAAACTACCTAAAGCAGGCTTCTGAATTAAAGCAATTTCTATCCAAAACCCAATGGTACTTTTTGCAGAAATAAAGAAAAATCTGTCCTGAAATTCACATGGAATTTCAAGGGACTAGGAATAGCCAAAACAATCTTTTTTGTCCCCTTCATTTTTTAAAAAATTTACTTATTTTTATTTTGTGGTTTAAGTGTGTTGCCTTCATGGAAGTGCACGGCTGCATGCAATGCCCACAGAGGCCAGAAGAGGGCACTGGATCTCCTAGAATTGGAGTTATGAAAGGTTGCTCACCGCCATGCGTGTGCTGAGAACCGAACCCGGGTCCTCTGCGAGAGCAGCCAGTGCCCTTAACCACTGAGCTAGCTCTCCAGCCCCAACCCTTCATTTTTTTTTTATTGAGAATTTCATACACACATATGTGTTCTGATCAATCTATCTCTCATTCCTCTTCTATCCCTCCCACTTTTCCTTCCCAACTTGATGTACTCTTTTTCCTTGTTTTTAAACCCATTAAGTCCACTTAGTGCTGGGCTTAATGGGTTTAAAAACCCATGCATGGGTGTAAGACCATCTGCCAGCACAGGGGTAGTTTCTCAGGGGCCACATCTATGAAGAAAACTGATTGTCCCTCCCCCAGAAACTATCAATTGCCAACAGCTCCTCAGGTAGAAGAGGAACTTCATGTGCCCATGCCCCTCCCCCATCATTCTGGGATTTTGACTGACTTGATCATATGTTTCCCTACAGACATCCACTGTCTCAAAACAACTATTAGAAAGAAGTCGGAGATCGTATGCATACTTGCTGATTCAAAACCCAGAGCTACAGGAATAATCAAAACAGAGACATGAAGTCACACATATAGAACAAAGGATTCAAATACAGAAAAATAACAATTGTATATATGATCCAGCGATCTTTGACAAGGATGCCAAGGCCATCAATGGAGAAAGGAAGTAGGAAAATTGCAAGGCAGGAGGCAGGATGCTGGGTTCAAGGCCAGGACTGATTATCAAGAGAAACCCTGTCTCATAAAAGGGAAAAAAAAAGGCAAGACAAGACTTTTTAGAAGAAATTCAGGCTCTGTTCTCATTAGTGGAATGAATAGACTCATTCATTCATGTAATTCATGGATTAAAGAGTTAATAGGCTATCCCAAGAGTGGATCTCCTAGGGCTAGAGAGATGGCTCAGTGGGTAAGAACACTGGCTGCTCTTGTGGGAGACACAGGTTCAAACACCAGCAATCACATAGCAGTTAACAACCATCCATAACTCCAGTTCCAGGAGATCCAATCTTCTGGCTTCCACACTTGGGTCCATAGCATGACACAGGTGCACTTGCATACATGCAGGCATAACACTCACATAATCTTTTTTTTAAAAAAGAGTGGCTCTTCTAAAGCCAGGCATGGTGGTGCACGCCTTTAATCCCAGCACTTGGGAGGCAGAGGCAGGCAGATCTTTGTGAGTTTGAGGGCAAGCCTGGTCTACATAATGAGTTCCAGGACAGCTGGGGCTACAAGGAGGCTCTGTCTCAAAAAAGACCAAAAAAAAGAGTGGCTCTTCTGTAAGGCAATTGGCTCGGCCTCTGTCCTGCACTCCCTGGTTCTTACGTGACGTGTTGTACTACCTTGGGATTCTGTCAGCCTTGGATCCAAATTATGAGCTAAAATGCACTCTTTTTCTTTAATTTACCTAGTCTGTGCTACTGTTATTAGCAACAGGAAATGTACTATGACAATAAGGTAGCCAACTAAAGTAGTGAAATTCAAAGAAATTAGGTAGAATGTGGTTGCCTGGGGCTGGAGGAAAGGAGAATGGAATTGTTGCTTACATGGGAATAAAATTTCAGTTTTATAAGATAAAACAGTTCTAGAGATTGGGTGTAAACAGTGTGCTACACCTAGTACTTCTGACTTATGCATGGTGGTGAGTGCTTATAATCCCAGCACTGAGGAGGTTGAGGCACGAGGTCAGGCTCCACGGCATCATTAGTTCACACCAGCCAGGGCTACGTGACACCTTGCCTCAAAAATAGAAAGAAAAAAAAAAAAAAAAAAAACAACAACAACAACAACAAAAAACTAAACACACTACTGAACTACACACCCATGTATGCAATGTCTATGGGGGCCAGAAGAAGGCATCAGATTCCCTGGAAATGAAGATACAGATGGCTGTTATCTGCCATGTGGGTGCTGGGAACCGAACCCAGGTCCTCTACAAGAGCAGCTAGTGCTCCTAACCACTGAGTCATCTCTCCAGCCTCAAGTCCCCAGAGTCTTAACTCATTCTAGGGTCCACTTTAATGTTCAATGTCTCTCCCAAATACCTAAACTCAGACATGGGTCAATCTGAGGTATGAGGATAATAAGGCCAAATTCCTGTCTAGCTAAGAATCTTTGAAACCAAGTGTCTTAGTTTGTTTCTCCATTGCTGTATCAAAATACTCTTACCACTACCAACTTGGGGAGGAAAGGGTTTATTTATCTTACATCTCCCAGGTCGCAGTTCATCAGGGAGCCCAAGGTAGGAACTCAGGCAGGAACCTGGAGGCAGGAGCTGGAGCACAGGCCATGGAGGAATGCTGCTTACTGGCTTGCACCCCTGGCACCTGCTCAACTTGCTCTCCTATCCAACGCAGGCCCACCTGCCCAGAGGTGGCACTACCCACAGTGGGCTGGGCCCTCCCACATCACTCAACAATCAAGAAAATTCCCCACAAACATGGCCACAGGCCAGTCCAATGGAGGCAATTCCCCAATTGAGGCTCCCTCAACCCAGGCGTGTCAAGTTGACACTAAAGCTATCCAGCACACCAAGTATGTGATGTGCTTCCAAAACACATTTATGGGGCAGGCACAGGACAGAGATTCCCATTCCAAAAGAGTCAGACAAGACTAAAAGGACCACTAAGCAGTCCAGAACCCAGCAAGGCAAGTTCCATCAGATCTTGAGGCTTATGATGGTTAATACTGATGGTCAACTTGGTATGATCTGGTTTTGCCCAGGAGGCATGCCTCCAGGGCCACTTATAAGGAATCATCAAGATTAGGTTAGCCTCTGCGTAATCCTGTGAGGTGAAATGACATACCCTAAAGGAGAGCAGCCCCATTCCCTGGGCCTGGGCCCGACTCTCAGAAGAAGCTAGCAAAGGACAAGCATTGTCCTGTTCTCTGCTTCTGATTTCAGGTGCCATGTGGCCAGTTCCTGTCCCTAGGACTTGGACACACAGGTGGGCTATACCTTTGAACTATGAGCCAAAATAAAACATTTCTTTAAGTTGCTTTTGTGAGGTATTTTATCACAGGAACAGGAAAAGTAATTAATACAAGGCTCAAGAATAAGACTCAGTGTCTGCCTTCCAGGCCCACTGAGATGATGGCCTCACCTTAAGGACCCACTGGGGCAGGAAACCACCACCAAGACTGTGGGAGGCCCTGCCCCCCAGGCCTATGGTAGAGGCTGCCCGCCTTACTGAAATGCTTTGGGACCTTTCTTCCCATCTCTTTAAGAAGGGCTCTAAGGTCTGATCTACAAGATTTTAGCATTCTAGCCATATCACTTCATTTTGTCTCACTTTCTATCCCTAGAGTTCAAACTGCAGAATCTTTGCTGACGTAATCCCAGCTCTATTCCTGGTCTATCGGTCACATCCATGGTGTCGTCATCTAATGGCTATTTGGCCACACTCTTGGGTGTCCTCTTTAAAACAAGCTTTCTTAGTTTTTACAGTATGGACCAGCTGAGGAATTTCAAATCTTCAGGTTTAATAGTTTCTTCTTCAATTTACCTCTTTCCTTCCATATTTCATTATAAGCAGTCAGGAAGAACCAAGACACTCCTCTAACACTTAGCTTCTCTGCTAAATAGCCAATTTTAGTACTTGCAAGTCCAACTTCCACAAAACACTAGAACATAGTTGGGTCTGATGCTTTGCCACTCTACAACATGGGTCATCCTTCTTCCCATCTCCAAGATGTTCTCTTTCCACCTGAGACCTCACGGAAACCTCCTGGGATGGCTGATATTAACTGCCAGCTTGATGGGGTTTAGAATCCCAACAGAAACAAACCTTTAGGCATGTTGGGGAGGGATTCTGGACTGAATGAAAAGGAGAAAGGGACTGTGGTGGCACACGCCTATAGTCCCAGCACTTGGAAGGCAGAGGCAGGCGGGTCTCTGTGAGTTCAAGGCCAGCTTGGCCTACAAAGTGAGTTCCAAGCCAGCTGGGGCTACACTGCTTCAAAAAGACCAAAAAAAAAGGAGAAAGGGAGTAGTGCCATCCCTCTGCTACCGGACTGCGGATGCCACATGACAGCTTCCTACTGCCATGCATTCCCTGCCACAATGGACTGTGTCCCCTCCAAACTTTAAGCCAAAAGAAACCTTTCCTCCCTTAAGCTGCTTCTTGTCTCAGGTACTTGGTCACAGCAATGAGAAAACTAACCAACACAGCTTCCTTACCGCCCACACGTCCACCATGCACCGCAAGGCTCTTCCAGCCTGTACCCATTACTCAGTTCCAGTATGCTTTTGCATTTTTAGGTATCACATCCACATTTCATTTCTCCACGCCTCCACGCCCAAACCTTAGTCTTCTGAGGCTGTCACAACAAAATACCACAGACTGGATGGCTTAAATAACCAAAATGTATTTTCTCTCAGCTCTGGAGGCTGGAAGGTCCAAAATCGAGATGTCAGTCAAGATCAGTTAGGCCCCCTTCCTGGCTTTTAAGTGGTCATTCTCACAGTGTACCCTCATGTGGCCTTTCTTCAGTGTGTACACAGAGAGAAAGATCTCTACTTAGAAGGCCACCAGCCCCATCAACTAGTGTCCCACCTTTACAACCTCATTTGACCTCAATGACCTCTAAATCCCTTTGTATGAATAAAGTCGCACAGGAGTTAAGGCTCAACATACAGAACTGTGTGTAGGGTGGGGTATGGGGGGTATATAGTTCAGTCCACAGCAGATGATGCATTTTACATTATACATAGTGTACTGCAATTTTAAAACCAAAGTGGAAATTAATAGAGAATGCCAAATGGCACAGAGAAAAGCACATGAAAACATCAAAACCACACAAACACATACATATACCAATACAAAGGAATGCTATTCAGGCATACAAAGAAACAGGCCATGAAAAGACAGGGAGCAATCCTAAATACAAATTGCTAAGGGAAAGAAGGCCATCTGAAACGGTCTCATAGAATATGATTGCAATTCATAATATTCTGAATAAGGTAAAATCAATACAGTAAAAAGATCAGTGGTTGGCAGGTGCCTATGAAGGAGTGGGGGAAGAATATGTGGAGCTCAAGGGATTTTAGGGCAGTGAAACTATTCTGATATGCTAATATCTTGTCAAGGTTGCAGAGCTAATGAGGCCACAGTTTAAACGGAAGTCTCTGGCTCTGAAGTCCATACTCTTTAAGTTGCTCCTCTAGGCCAAGCCTGACTACTACCTTCAGCAGCTGGAGGAAAATAAAACTGAACCTCCATAAATCCACGCACAAGTTTTTACTGGGCCCCCAAGATGTCTCATAAATAGAAAGGGTGATACGTTCTATGAAAATGTAACTTCAAAGGAGAAAGACAACTAGGAAAGAAAACAGCACCACTGTCTATGAAACCCGAGAGCCCTGGTACTCTGAGCTCAGCTCTAGCTTGGTTAATCCATCAGTGTACCTCTCCTCTGGGAAGACAGAATACGTACTTGCAAAATGATTGAGGAACCTGTCTTCCCTTCCAAAGATGTCTGATGGCCGTATGATGGTGGCTTCGGGAAACGCATTCATCACTTCCTTTTCTCCAACAGCCTAAACAAACAGCCAACATACAAACACTGAGTTAGGGCCAGGTGTGGTGGCGCACGCCTTTAGTCCCAGCACTTGGGAGGCAGAGGCAGGCATATCTCTGTGAGTTCAAGGTCAGCCTGGTCTATATAGTGAGTTCCAGGACAGCTAGGGCTACAGGGAGACCCTGTCTCAAAAAGACAAAACAAACAAACAAAAAAACCCACCACAGAGTTAGAGACACATGCACAAACTTTTCGTTCTTTCTGTACTTTAAAGGTCACACTTTTCTTAGGTAACCATATTTTTAGAAGACAATCATGTAATTCATAAAACTCAATTATAGGGAATCTCACACACACACACACACACACACACACTAGAAAGTTCACACTGAAGAAAGGAGAAAAATCAGGTTAGGGTTTTTCCAGCCTTCATTTTCCCTCCTACTTACAGATTCTCTAGTTTGTGTCAACAAACTAGCAGCTCATTAGAGAAAGGACAGTGTGGTGGTGGTGCTGGTGGGCTAAACTAGCCTAAGTGCAACACTGCATGCCCACCCAGAGTGGCCCATGAATCTAGTGGAAACTGCTTAACACCCTTGTTTGTTTTCAACAGGTCCAGACAAGCCCTCTTGTTCAGAGAAGGCATCTCCATCCTTTCTAGCTACAGCACCACTGTGGATGATGTCAATGCCAAGGGGAATCTGGATCTCAAGTTCTTGAGCATCTCAACTCCAAAACCTTCCTCTTAACTCCATTCCTGGCATCCTCAATTCACAACCACGGACCTTCAATGGAAAGTGTCCTTCCCCTATGAAACCTAAATAAAATGTCCTGCTCTTGGGTGGTAATCTCATATAAATTCAGTGTGTTTATTTTCATCTACCTTCTAGAACTTAGTGTTTCCCCTTATACCAACCCCTCGTAACTGTGCTGGTCTCCCCTCCATATCCTAAATTAGAATTCGTGGTCAATCTTTTTACTTACTCTCTTGCTAATGTTGTATACTATTTGCCTTAATTCACCCACAGGGCAAAATCCCAACCCCACGGCTCCCCTTAGAGCCTGTACTCCCCCAGCCTTCAGCAGCTAAGGGGAAGTAATAGAAACTGCAAAAATCTATGTTACCAGTTTAAACTGAAGCCTCACACTTCCCAGATATGGTGTTGTCTCGCACTCAATTTACTCTTCCATAAGACACCTGCAAGCACTTTTTTTACTTTTATTGTATGTGTATTGCCTGCCTGTGTGTAAGTACAATGCCCACAGAGGTCAGCAGAGGGCGTCAGATCCCTTAGAACTGGGGTTACAGGCGGTTGTTAGCTGCCATGTGAGTGCTGGGAATTGAACCTGGTCCTCTGCAAAAGCAGCCAGTGCTCTAACCTACCTAGCTATCTCTCCAGCCCCCAGGCACTTTCTTTTGTATTCAAATTTCAGATTTTTCCTTCCTCCTTGAAGTGGTTTGAATGAGCAAGGTCCCTCATAGGCTCATGTATTTAAACACCTGGTCCTCTGCTCATGGCACTGTTTGTGGAGGTTATAGAACTTTTAGAATGGGAGCCTTGCCAGAGGAAGTACATCACTACGAGAAGGTTTTGAGAGTTCATAGCCTCACCCCACTTCCAATTTGCTCTCTCTGCTTCCTGTGTGTGGATGGAGACATGATCTCTCAGCTTCCTGCTCCAGCCACCTGCCGCCATGCCTCCTCATCATTATGGACTCTCCCTCTGCAACCATAAGCCAAAATAAACTCTTCTAGAAGCTGATTTTTGGTCATGGTATTTTATCACAGCAACAAAAAAGTAACTAATAACCTTCCTTCCAGTAAACAATTTCACATTCTAATTTCAAGAGAAAATGCAAAAGCAGAAAAAAAAAATTACCTCAAATCCTGACCACCAGATCTACAAGCAAAGGCGCATGAACCACCATTTCCTCTCTCTCTTACTGCAGGGGAGTAGCAGCACCCAAGCACCTGAGCTCCAATCTTCTCATTGTCTAAAGAGCCTGCCCAGTTTACTCCCTGCCCCATATCTGGTCTCATTCTCTTCACCAGCTCCTCTCCAACCCATTTAAAAACGTAGAGCCTCCACCCTAAAAAAAAAAAACTTTTCCAGCTTCTACTCTCTCAAGCGCTTCTTCCTCCTGATACACTAGTGGAAAATAAGCCCATGCCAACTGCATTACCACCTCAGCCCCAGGCCCCATTTCATTCCCTTGGACTCTGGATGTGACTTCAACACCTGATCTGGAACTATTTTTGGAAGATCATTAATGACTCCAATGTCGACAGATTTGACACCAATCTGGAGTGGGCAAGGCTATAGAACCTGTATTTCTTCTGACTTCTTTTTTCACATTTATTATTTTTATTTTATGTGTATGAGTGTATTGCCCACATGTAGGTAGGTGAACCCGTGTCGTGCAATGCCTGCAGAGCCCAAAAGTGGGTGTCGGATCCCCTGGAATTGGAGTTACAGACAGTTGTTAGCCGCCATGTGGGTGCTGGGAATCAAACCCGGGTCTTCTGCAAGAGTAGCCAGTGCTCTTAACTGCTGAGCCATCCCTCTAGCCTGATCGCTTGACTTCTTAATGGCCCTTATTGATAGCTCTTCCCCTGTGTGTCTTTCCCCGGCTTCTGTAACATTGTTCTGCTTGGCTGGCTTCGGTTTTGCAAGTGCCTCTCCTCTGTCAGAATGAATCATTAGCATCCCTCTGCTCATTCAGAGCCCTGCTCTCGATCTACATTATTCTCTACATTTTCCTACACTCTTCTCTTCCTCCAATTAACAACAGGCTGTCAACACTCAAACTTATATCTTCAGCCCAGACTTCTCTCTGAGCTCTAGGGTCATAAACCTGAATGATAGGAACACTACTGACACCCAAGTCCAAATCTGGATCACCCTGCATTCTCTCAAGTAAAAGAGTGCCTTCCAATCTGCACTGAACTTGGAATCACCTATACAGAGTATAACATGCATTATACTGGTAAACTGTCATGTGCTATTTGAGCTCTCTGAGAAGCTGGCTTTGGAAGCAGGGCTGACCCCATACTTCAGACCCAAACTTGTTTGGCCAAATACCCACAAAACTCCCATTTCTGGGTCAGGTTGGACCCTTGGCTCCCTAGGTGGGAGAGGGAAAAACAGCAAGCAGCTACAGGCATTAAAAGCTGTCCATGAGAACAGCTAGAAGGAGAACCATTCCCACAGAGGTTACTGTTGTTTCTCCCATGGTTTAAGAATGCGGCAGTGGGAAAGAGAAGCTGGAAGCTCATCCGTGGAGAGAATGCTCTGCTCTACCAGGACGCTCCAACAGAAGTCCAGCAAGACTCCTCCCGCAGGGCCTCCCCATCACTTCTGCGGAATGCTGTAAGAGCTCGACCTGAAGATGTTATCTGCTGCTACTTTTCTTGTACTTGGAAGCCTCACCCATGGGGATGCTCTGCTCCACCCAGGACCTAGGTACCATCAGGAACTCCAGCTGGCTGCCTCAACAAGGCTTCTCCAGTCACTTCCCGCAGATGTTTATAGGCCCCCAATCCGATGGTGCTGCCTTCTGTGTGCTCGCTCAGTGGGGCTCCTCCAGCTATCTCTGCTGGAGCCTGATGACGTTTTGATATTTATCTGCTGCTTCCCTCCATCTGCTACTTGCTATTTATTCTCTTTTGTTTGCTACATACTTAATAGACTCATGCATTTGAAAGAGAAAGCATGGTTATCACAGATCATTCTCTGAACCACAGAGAACACAGTTATAAAATTACTGATGCCCAAGTTCCACCCCCAAAGATTCTGCTTTAGTTGGTCTGGGTTACAGACTGGGCATTGGGGTTTTAGAAATCTCCTTCGGTGGTTCTAAAGTGTAGCTAAAGCTAAGAACCTCTGTCTTAAAGCCTAGTCCTTCTCAAGCATGTACAACTTATTCAACAGAGCCAAGAGCAGCCCAGTAACTTACAGAGGGCTAGTCAGCTTTGATGTCTCTTTCTCATCACCAATGCACCTATCTCCTCCCAACACCCTGGCATTCAGGAGATTTCAGTGCAGAAGCAGTTATACTGTGTTGTTCTGTATTCTCATTCTCTCTCTCTCTCTCTCTCTCTCTCTCTCTCTCTCTCTCATTCCAATGTAACATTTGGGTGTGAGGACCAGATAAGCTGGTCCTGTGACTATAGGATACAGAGCTTATATATAAAGACCAAGTCAGAGCTGAGAAAAATTAAACAAAGCTAGAGGCTGGACAAATATTGGCATCAATCTTGGTTAAGTTTCCCTAGTGTTAGTTTTAGATATGAGTCTACAAATTCCCTTTATGTTCACACTAGATTTTCTGATGCTGGGATTAACTGCTGCTAACTATAGGTGCCTTTCCTCTCCACCACTTCCACCATGACCTGCTTCTGAGGCATGCTTTGCTACTTTGCAAGGCTTAAGACATCTGGGATCATTTTCCCTAGTGGACCAGAAACTTAAAAGTGAGATAGGACCAAGTGTGTTTGACTGTATGCTCACATCCTAACAATATACAGCACAGAACTGGTGCTTAGTAAACTTTTTTCCCCAATAAATACACTCATTAGGTCAAAAAGTTGGAGCCATTGTCAAGAACCCTGCTGTTGTCAGGATAATTCAAGGCAAGCTCACTGTGCCAGAAGACAAATGCTTAAGGGTAGATCCAGACACTGATGTCTCATTTGAGACCTGATAATGAAGACATTTCAGATAACAGATGGACTCTGTGACACAGTAACCAATCCCCGGGTATCACTTGGGCTGCAGTGGGGTTTGTGGTAGTAAAAGACAAAGAACTATATAAAGAGCCATTTTCACTGGCAAACATTTATCCGTTATCCTCTGTCTTCACCCTATGCAGTGAGACTGGCAGAAATTCATGGCTGCAGAAGGTCCAAGAAAGAAAAATGGTCCTGAAATCACAATAGGTGACAGAGAGATGCCTCCCTTGGCAGGAATTACGCTCTGCCTTTGCTGCTGGTGTTTACTGTGTAACTCTTACCATGTCCCCAAATGATTAAGGACTTGAGGGAAGGTAATAATATAGTCTATTGATATTTTAAACCCTTCAGCATAGCACTCAACCAAAATGTCAAAATACAGCATACATGCAGAGGTTGGGGATGTTAGGCACCTGCCTAACAAGGGCAGGCCCTAGGTTCAGTCCTCCACATCAACAAACAAACAAAAGCACTAATGCACAACCACACCGAATTCTGCATAGGAGCATTAGAAACCCTCTGAATTCTCAATGCACAGAAGAGAAATGCTTCTCACTCATGCCAGGTCTCAAAGCCTTCCTTTAGTCCCTGAAACACCCAGGGAATCCACTTGGCACTAACCTTGCTTCTCAAATACTTAGAGGAGCTTCTTATGTTAGCATTGAGGTGGGAAACATGAATGAGCCTTTCAACTCCAGCTTCCTTGGACACCTGAGCTATTGCTTGAGGAATCTTCACAAAAACATTCTCAAAATCAAAGTTCCTGGAAGAAAACAAAGGGAGGGGCCATTTAAGAATTCAAAACTCAGGATTTCAAAGCTTTCTATAATACTCTGGTTTGCATGACAGTGCTAGAATTTATAGCAGTTAATGAACACTTTTAAACGTTTAGTAATGCTTTATTACTAACACCAAGCTAAAATGAATATTTTATTTAAGGTCCAAGGGACTGCTCACTGTCACTACTCTCCCCAGCTAAAGGCTTACTCAAGTTACGAATACAGCATTAAGTAGTCTATGCTTTCAAAGACTCCTAAGGCTGAGGTCCTTTAAGAACACCTGACTTTGCTGGTAGAGGGGAGCAGGGAACTAAATAATGGGGGCTGGAAAGGGACTCACGTCTTATTGGTGGTGGAACTTTGTTTCCCTCAAGGGAAGAAAGTAAAGTAAAAGTGCAGTCATAGCAGGGCCCAGTGGCACAGAGCTATAATCCTACCTAATCAGGAAACTGAGACAGGAGGCTCCCAAGTTCAAAACCAGCTTGGGCTACAGAGTGAGCTCAAGAGCAAGTCCATGACAGCCTATCTCAAAATTAAGAAGAAAAGGAGGACTAGAGGTACAGTGGTAGAGCACTTGCCTAGGTTCAGTGCTCAGTACTGCAAATAAATAAATAAATAAATAAATAAATAAAT